TTTTCAATGAGGGAATTCATTCAAACTCAAACGTAATGGAGCATGAAATAAATAACAAATTATTTGGGTGGACAGTTACCTAGAATAGCACAATTAAGTAATTTATCGACATGATCCAATGATATAAAGCCAATAGAGAATATATGTGTTGAAACCTCAATGTCAGTAGCCTTTATGCTTGTGTTATCTGTAAATGTCAATTCAACTTATTTATATACAAAATGGTAGTTTGGATTGATGTGATCTAAGCGCCATTTAGCAATGTAGTATCTCTTATTTGATTTCAAGGAGTCCTTCCATGTTTCGATATGTTTATTAAACACTATTGCTTGAATTTTTGTACCTAGTATTGTGCAAAGAGGTGGGGGTGGGGGGGGTATAAGTACAATAAATATGAACGATGAAATAATAAGGTAGTAAAAATGTCAATGTTATTGCTTCTTCATTAACTAATATATTGTTCTTAAAGTCCCTTCATGCCTTGAATTCTTTCAAGGTATTATGAATCCCTTCAAATCCTAAGACTCTTATCACCGAATTAACGAATTGTTTTTGCATTTTGTTTATCGGTATATTCCATTTTGCTAGTTCAATTTCAGTCGTCATATGGGTTGGAGCTTGATGACTTCCATTGGAAGATTAGAGCGACAATTTTAATTCTAGGTGTTATTGTGTATTAGTACCATGGATGAGGGAGGCAAATGATCGAAATATGCACAATTACAGAAGGATTTGATGCATAAAAGAGGATATCAGTAAAATGTAAAGTGCGGCTTAATATTACAAGTAACATATATGTGTAAAGTATATGTAAGCAGGTGAACCAATAATGGGTTGTATAAGTAATGCTTCATGGGGAAGAAACAAAGTTGATTAGTCATGTAAAGTATGTGGTTACAATTGCCAAGGGACTATATGAAAGAAGGTGAACTAATATATATATATATATATATATATATATATATATATACACACACATTAATGAAGATATTTAACTCATAAAATTAGCCATCATATATTTATATAAAAGATAACTCTATACCCGCCCACGTGGCACCAACACAAGCAAGAATTTTTTTTAAAATTTATTTCTAAAAATAACTTTCCTCTTTCACGAAGAGTTGTAACTTTTATCAAAAGTTCTGACTTTAATGAAGAGTTGCGATTTTTGAGAAAAGTTGTGACTTTTATGAAATGTTGCGACTTTAATGAAAAGTTACGACTTCATGAAAAGTTGTGACTTTTGCTAAAGGTTGTGAAACTTTCCAAAGGGTTGCAACATCTCCAAATAATTGTAACATTTCTGATAATACACAATAAACATTTGTTCGCACTATCCTTTGTTCTCTATAAATAGTTGGATTTCCTCTCATTTTAAAACAACAAAACTTCTGATCTTCTTCTTCTACATATGTAAAATGAAATATTTGTGTACTTTGCTCATGTTGAGTGACTTACTAACACCACTTTTTTTGTATCAATAAGTTGGTTAAATAAAATTGTTTCATACTGGGAGGATGTTATTCTTTAAACCTCTGGTATTCGAGGGTATCTTTTTCTTAACGGGACATTGTGCATTCAGTGAACTCGATTTTTTCTCTCTATTTCAATCTATTTTTACATATCCTAGTATGTTCTTTACACTCATTAATTTATGCTTATGATATTAATTGATGTTTTTGAGTACATGTTTTTAACTCTATTATTTATATTTCTGCAAAATTATTCTCTCCAATTATACTGAACTACACATATAGTACGCATATTCATTGTGTAGAAAATACTTATTGTACTCAGTTCCAAGAATTCATGTTTTGATATTCTATATTAAATTTTATAACTTAAAAATACTATATATAAGCTTATAAATTATCTATTTTAACCTATATATTGAATTTCTCACTTACCAATTGAAAAAATTCATTATACAAGTTCAAAAGTATAAATGCTTTCATGTTCAAGCGTTATTTTTTTTTGCATATGTTAACAAATTTTTTGAATTCTCCGAAGACATATATCACAAATATATAACCTAAACTTCAATGTTTCTTTTTATTACGAAATACCTTTGTATATCTATTCTTATTTTCTTGTTTGTTTTCCTTTTAATGTTTATTAACGAAACAATTCATTCATTAGAGGTTCTTGAGTTATGTGACAATTACAAATAATCAAATTCATGTTGGAATATTGCTAATATTTTTAAGAACCTATTTATTCATTATTTTTAATTTATGCATAATATTAAAATATTATTTAAAAGTTCAATGCAATTATTATTTCGCTCGAACAAATTACCTAGTCAAGTTAAAAATAAAAAAACAGACGTTATTACGAGCTATATGAACTTTTCTTCATTTGAAATACTGAAATAAAAAAATAGTAAATAACTAAATCAACAGGGTAATGTTTATATAATTACAACTATTTTGAAGCAAATTTGCTGAGATTCTAAATAATATAAGTAGCATTGATAATAAAGTAATTCTTTTATCTTAAGCGTTAAAAACAAATTGTCACAATTTTTTAAATATTTCATAAGCATATATCTACGTCACAAGAGAAATTGTTAACAAAATCAAATGAATTTATACTAAAGCATGTTAACTTCATATACTGGAATATTGCATACTAATATATATACTAAGCAAAAAAATAATTATCATATCATAAATATTATATTATTTTCGTCGTGTACTCAAAGTTATAGAGAAAACACTCTTAGGATAGAACGATTTACTTCATCAGAATAGTGGTACCTCATATATTGCTAAACATTGAACTCTCTCATAGACAATAAATCACATACAAAAAAAAATAAAATGCAAGAAGAAGAAGAAGATGAGTAGATGATCAGAAAAAATGTGATTGTAAAATGAGAGAAAGTCCCTTTATTTAGTCAAAAGTGGTAGTATGAACAAATGTCTTTTGTGTCTTATTAGAAAAACCATGACCTTTCCGAGAAGTCACAACACTTTAAAAAAGGAACAACTTTTTAAAAAAGTCACAACTTAATGAAAATGTCACAATACTTTGAAAAAGTCAAAATTCATCAAAAAAAATCATAATCCTTTGAAAAAAATCACAAGTTATCGAAAAACTCACAAGTTATCGAAAAAGTCACAACCTAACTAAGGAATATTATAGTAA